CCTCTTATACCCACTGTTTGAAGAGGCTGGTCTTTATGAAACGGCAACCTCTGGATTTTCAGACAAACCCTGATCACTAAAAGCATAATGGGGCCTTTTATATTTTATGATATATATATATATATTACAAGTAAGGAACAAGAGCTGTATTTGGTTTGGTTTTAGGAAAAGTATTATCAACACTGTTTTCTTTCAGGTTATGTGTGAATAATTAGCCTCTGTTATAAATAGCCTATTCTCAAAGGGTTATCTGTTCCTAGGCTTAATGTGTACTTCCTAACAGGTGACTTTGGTCATGATGATCTGGTTCTTAACAAAGGAGACTTGTTTTCCTAATTTAAATATTGAAATATCTTTAGAGCAGCCCTCAACATGTGATGAGTTGCCTTCAGCATCTCATTTGTGAAACTAAGCACAAGTGTGAGCCAACCACACCTTTTTTTAAACAAAAAAAAATACATCAAGTTATAGTGCCATAACAACTTCCTTTTTCCACAGCGTGAGTGTATTTCCATCCACGTCGGCCAGGCTGGAGTCCAGATTGGCAATGCCTGCTGGGAGCTTTACTGCCTGGAACATGGGATCCAGCCGGACGGACGGATGCCCAGTGACAAGACGATTGGAGGAGGAGACGACTCCTTCAACACCTTCTTCAGTGAGACTGGAGCTGGAAAGCACGTCCCCAGGGCAGTTTTTGTGGATCTGGAGCCCACTGTCATCGGTAAATTCTCACTACAAAAAAGCAACAATGCTGATTTGGTGTCGATTACTCCACCTCTTAGTCAAACCCTTAAATATATGCATATTCCCCTTTTTATAGATGAGGTGCGCACTGGGACCTACCGCCAGCTGTTCCACCCTGAGCAGATGATCACTGGCAAGGAGGATGCTGCCAACAATTACGCCCGAGGACACTACACCATCGGCAAGGAGGTCATTGACCTGGTGATGGACAGGATCCGCAAACTGGTGGGTATATTCAGAACTTTAAAATATTAAATTAAATTGAATAAATCAGTTTTAATGCCAAGAAGGTTGTCGCATAAAAGGAATTCAAGCGGATACTCCTGCCCCATTGTTCTGACCACACCCATCTTCAAACTCTGCCTTCATTTTAACCTATACTGCACATCTGGAATGGTTTTGATTAGTCATATGCTGCAAACACAATAGCTTTTTCTCGTGACTGCTTTTAAAGCAAGAAAGAGAAACCCTGGCTCTATACCAAGTTAATAACCAATGTTGTAGGATTTCCTGAGTATGTTGAACTCTTACAACAGTGCCCTCAGGCACATTTTGCCTGAAAAAGCTTTGCCAGGATTACGCACACTGACTCACCAGCTGAAAACAATATCAGTGTCTCTGACACAGCTGGGAAAAAGCTGAACAGTGTTTCCAGACGTTCTTTATACTCTGAACTTCAGTACTTTTCATTCTCTTTGTTTCAGAGTCAGTCTAAAAGATGTGTAACGCGTAAATGTGATCATTGTCTCTCCCTCTGTTTTCAGTCTGACCAGTGCACCGGTCTTCAGGGTTTCCTGGTGTTCCACAGCTTCGGAGGGGGCACCGGCTCTGGTTTCACCTCCCTGCTGATGGAGCGTCTGTCCGTCGACTACGGCAAGAAGTCCAAACTGGAGTTCTCCGTCTACCCAGCTCCCCAGGTGTCCACCGCTGTGGTGGAGCCCTACAACGCCATCCTCACCACCCACACCACCCTGGAGCACTCTGACTGTGCCTTCATGGTAGACAACGAGGCCATTTATGATATCTGCCGTAGGAACCTCGATATCGAGCGTCCCTCTTACACCAACCTGAACAGGTTAATGAGTCAGATTGTGTCCTCCATCACTGCCTCCCTTCGCTTTGATGGTGCCCTCAATGTTGATCTGACAGAGTTCCAGACCAACTTGGTGCCCTATCCCCGTATCCACTTCCCTCTGGCCACCTATGCCCCTGTTATCTCTGCAGAGAAAGCGTACCATGAGCAGTTAACCGTGTCAGAAATCACTAATTCCTGTTTCGAGCCAGCCAATCAGTTGGTGAAATGTGACCCAGTCACGGTAATACATGGCCTGCTGCCTTTTGTATCGTGGTGATGTCGTTCCCAAAGACGTGAACGCTGCCATTGCCACCATCAAAACCAAGCGCTCCATCCAGTTTGTGGACTGGTGCCCCACTGGTTTCAAGGTGGGCATCAACTACCAGCCGCCCACTGTAGTTCCTGGTGGAGACCTGGCCAAGGTCCAGAGGGCTGTGTGCATGCTGAGCAACACCGCTGCTATTGCAGAGGCCTGGGCTCGGCTTGACCACAAGTTTGATCTGATGTACGCTAAGCGTGCCTTTGTGCACTGGTATGTGGGTGAGGGTATGGAGGAGGGAGAGTTCTCTGAGGCCAGAGAGGACATGGCCGCTCTGGAGAAAGATTACGAGGAGGTTGGAGCTGATAGTCAGGGGGATGAGGATGAGGAAGGAGAGGAGTATTAGAAAGGCAAACATTCCGATGTATTAATCTCTGTGCCTTTTTATCAATGTTCAGAAAATAAAATCTGTTTAACTGAATGTATTGTTTGCACTTTTTTTACACACTCACTGTACTCTCATAATCTGCCTAAAATACTTTAAACAGTATATTCACTCAATGGTCAGGTCATTCTAAAAATGTTTTCATAATAAAGATCTTGCACATTTTAGTCACGTGGGGGGTGGGGCAAGTGTTCGACAGGTTTTCCAACAGAACTAGCATTGTCAAAATACTCTAAATTACTTTTACTGCATAAGATTATTTCAATATATAATTTTCACCTTTAAATGTCCATCTGCTTTTCCCTAAATGTACCCAATTGTTAAAAATCAGAAATCAACCAAGGTAAGTATTTTAACTCAAGAGGACATACTTTAACAACATTACTTTTTTTGTAATTTCATAATTCGATTCAATATTTAGAGGAAAATATTGCACATTATTAATACAATGTAAAATGGACGAAATATAGATTAATCCATATGGTGGTATTTTAACTTTAATAACAAACAAAAATTGCATAAGTCTTTATAATTCAATATTATAAAATGGGCGAATCTGAGGTTATTATTTTAACCTAAATTCGAAATGTTTGTATTTTTATAATATCCTGCAATCTTATTTTCTTTTACTTACATATAATGCTGAATCATTTGTTTATTTACGTATGTGTTGGCTATTTACATTTACTTGTGGCTTACTTGCCGAAGTGCCCTTGAGCAAGGCACCTAACCCCCAACTGCTCACTGGCGCCGGCTAGATTGGCTGCCTCCGCTCTGATCTCTCAACTGCATGTGCATGTGTGCATGATTGTATATGTATGTGCATGTTCTAAAAAAAAGTGTTTACTGTGACCTGTATAAAAACGCGTGTGTACGACAGAAAGTGAATTTCCCCCTCGGGGGATTAATAAAGGTCCTTCTTCTTCTTCCATGGATTTAGACAGAATTTGTATAATTTAAAATGAAGTCTGGACGACCACTTTTCTTAGACTATTACTTCTAATTATAGAGACATTTTACATCACCAAGGTGACGTCCGATATAGCCTACTCTCAAACCCACTGCTGCTGACACCAGTATAAGAAAGAAACAAGAAAGCAACATTTTAACGCTAAAGTTAAATGTTGGGTATGGAACTTGTCCATTGCATTAGGATGAATTGTGTTTTCCTGAATATTATTTTCCATTCCTCCAAAGCATGACAGAACTCGTGTCTATATTATCCTCGAGCTTCATCGTTAATGTTATCTGTAACACCTGCGAAGAACATCAAAAGGTTTTCCTTCAACCAATAGGAAGGAAGCTCTTGTGACCTCGGCCAATCAGATCCATCTGCTCTCCCCTCCTTGTAGCCTAACTTAACTTCTGTATAAATCGCCTCGCATAGCTAACCTGGTGATAGCATCTCACGCAGCACTCCTTGAAGCGCAGCTGTGAGAGTTAATTCAGTCTCTTAATCCTGTTTTCCAGCCCTCGACACACAGCAACAGGAAACATGGTGAGTATGGAACATTTAAAAAGTGTTATGTTAAATTAAACCAGCCACATAGAGCACATGTCATGAATTATAATTGTAATCAATTTATATTGATGGCACAAGCTAATTGCAGAACTTTTAACATGAGCTAACAATGCCTCCAGTGAAAGGTCTGCTAACAAAGTTGTATGCAAACTTTTTAAATGTGACTTTATTTAGGGTTTTTGTGTATTTTTTTCAAACAGAGAGCGAGGAGCTTTTTGAATTACATTTTTGGGCATTTAAAAAAAATCCTTCCCTGTCTTTGCAGTGTGAACAATGACCCAGTTAGAGTATATACGTATTCTGGTCACACCCCTGCTTAACTGCATATTTTAAAGGGCCTTGCTGCCACCCGTGGGTTTCCAAATAAATGTACGATCAGACACTTTAAGCTGTATTGTTTAACAGATTATACTACTGGTTTAAAAACTGCATGTGTGTGGGAAAAATATGACCACAGCTATGTCTTGTAGGTAGACTAAACATGATGTCCCTCTAAAGATATTTAATGTAATATAATCTCAACATGCGAAAAATTGTTGCCTGTATGTTTTATTTCTTGTATACATGCATCAATATCTCACATGCACTTGTTTTATTGCACTATTTCATATCTTTCTTTTTCTTAAGTACTGTGCATGAATTACAGTGTTAAAGGAGCCTGAGATTTAGGATTTGCATTGGCAACAAGCACGCTGTTGTGCTTATGACAATAAAGCCTTTAGATCGTGTTCTGCCTTAATCATATTTTATGCACAGACAATCGGTTATGTGTTTGTCTTGATGAACTGATTCCTTTTCATGGCTGTAAATACATGTGAAACATGCGTCAACTGACTCGGTCATTATGTTGTTGTATCTATTCTTCACAAAGGATCCTTTCATTTTAAACACCCCCCACCCCCCCCAC